GTTATTCTAGCGCATCCTCTCTCTGTTCTGGATGACATTGTTTTCTTTTATTAAATCCAATTTCGTTTCCTTTAATCAAGTTATTTTCAGGCTCTTGAGGTATAGTTTTAAATTTTACAGTTCCTAGTTTCACATGTAACAATGCAAGATGGCCGAATTGCCTCATGGCAGGAAATATGAACATGCTTTTATTACTCGTCCGTGGAAGATACTACAGTGTAATATTTTTGCGGCAATATTACACTAGTGTAATACCGCTAGACATATGACGTCAGAATGGTTACAGTTATGACGTCAAAATGATAATGCCTCTGTCGTAATGGTATTAAACCTTGCTTGACTCGCAGAAGATTTATATGGGAGTCATCACACTGTAGGCAGTTTCTATCAATTTAGTTTGGAGAGTAACAAACAGAATACCAAGCTCTCTTCCGTTAAATACCGTTTATATTAAACTCGTGAAAGATTTACTATCAAACTCGCTTTCGCTCGTTTGATACCGAATCATTAACTCGTTTAATAAGTTTGGTATTACACGGAAGGTCGTTCAGTACCTCTATGTATCTTGGATTAGCCTCATGGAAATAATGTGTAATAACCTGACTGTAACCTGAATATAAGGAATAAACCCTCGTGACCTAACTTAACCTAGTCTTCACTGTGGACATTTGCCTGTTTAGATCTTTTTCTAGACCATTTTCGAAAAGAAAACATTTTCAGCTATAAATTAATGTATTGAAAATTCCCTGTACATCCACGGCTGTCATAACTTTAAGCATCTGTTGCTAATATATCAAATGACCCTGTCATTTAAGGGGGCGCAATTGCTTGTCAGAGTTGGACAAGCCAGACACTTGTGATCGTGTTGACACGGATTGTGTCTGTTGTTCGTGTGTTTCACCAAAGCGCTAGACGTCTGGGCCATCATTATTTCGCACTTCTATGTCTGGCATACATAACACGGTTACACCCACCTCACTCACTGTATCTAAACCCTTACAGTCCAAAAAAGGTGTTTAACAAACGATCATTATTTTGTTGTCACTTACCTCTACCTTTACGAGGACATCCAGGTCATCAACCAGCGTGTGTAGTGAAATTTCAGTTTCACACGTGCAACTCGCACACCTGGCTGTTCTACCAGCAAGTGGTCCCCCCTCGTAAATAAAAAGCGAAAAGTTACAACAAAATAATGATCATTCGTTAAACAAGTTTTTGTATTCGGGAGTCTAAAATTATGAGACAAATCATCAGAGTTGGTCCGCGATTGTGCCAAGTTTGGTTTTGTTGCAATTATTAGACTTTCTGTTAGTGAGCAATTCATAGGTCTCAAATGAAATCAAGCGGATTGTACGTGTAAAATTGATTCTTTTTTTGTCATTGAGTCAGAGAATATACATTCAGGATTAACTGGCTGATGGTGTCTTCAGTAATATTTGAAATTGGTGGGGCAATGGTCATTGGACAATGGCAGCGGTGGACAATACGCATTCTGATTAATATATTTTAGTAGTTAAAAGTGATTACATTGCAGTAGTACCCTACGGGTGAGGAGATCCCGTGTAATACCTTTTTGAAATTTATACTGTGTGTAATTTAGTGATTCTCGACATTGATTGGTCGATCGTATAAATGTACATTTTCATTGGATGTCGGAACTACTTTCACACCACTACATTCATTCATAATATTTCATCGATTTCTTGATGAATTGACCGTGCCGTAATCGCACCTTTTCGACATGTTAAAAGAGAGAAAAAAACATACAGGATTTGGAGTTATATTTCATAAAATTATCTAATCGTATTTTGTAAACAAACCCTGTTAACTGCAATCAACGTCTATTACCTTGTCAAGGTGGACGGCTACATTACTGGACGTGTAACGAGAATTATACAACCACTAAATTCCTTTCACGTGTATGTGATAAACACTGTACACGATGAAATGGACGTAGCAAGGTATAGTGTTGCCGGAACCGATATCGCTAAAGCTCGGGACAGTGAACATTAATTTCACGGGGGACATATTTCCCGTACTCACTGGTACCACGTGGGTTATTCTCTACTTACGTAAGTGGCCCTGTCTGGATTCTGTGTGTGCATAATTTCGCCCCTAGATAAAGCAGACAGAAAAGTGGGATTGGTGATCAGCTGATTTGGGGTTATCGTGCAATCGGTATTTTATCAAACTTCTGGGCCTAATAAAAATAATAAAGAAAAATAAAAAAATATGTAATATGCAGTTGCGTTGCTGAGTTAATTCTGTTTTTCGACGCAGGGTCCAGAGTGCTGCTCACAGCTGACTATAAGCTTCCACTATGTGAAACCAGAGCTGATGAGGACACTGGACATGTTCCTCTACCAGATCGCTGTGTTTGGTCGGACGGTCAAATACAAGGAACTCAGAGATCTGTTCCGAGAAGAGACGTTTCAAATCCCCCAGAAACGTCGACGTCGGCCTTACCCAGGGGAGACTATAGAGGAATACTACAAGAATGCCACGGAATGGAGACTGAAGTACACTACCATCTATATTCCAGACACAAAGAAACCAAAGAAATCAAAGATAAAGTCAAGTGTGTAGAACAGTCTCCCAGCCGATGACATTAACAATATATTTCATTGCCATGGTTTTACTGAAAAAGAGAGTTTTTTCAGCACTATTTGAACCCGTCATTTCTACATTTCGGTATTTCAGCACATATTCATGTCTTCTTTGATTGGCATTCTAGAAGTTGAAGAGTTGGAGAATGAGGACAGTGTTTATGGATATACAATTTCTTTATTCTGTATATGCGACGTTTCGACATAGATCATAATGTCTGTATTTGATATCGATCAAGATAACGATGTTTTAAATGACATGGTTAGTTCACCATCAGAATGTTACATGGATGTGGATAAATTTATTCTAGAATCACCAATATCAGAAAATGAAATATCCAATGCTATATCACATTTAAAAAACGGGAAAACGGCAGGTCCTGATTATATCATCACAGAAACAATAAAATGTTCGGAATTCGTAATCATGCCATTTCTGATAAAATGTTTCAATAGACTATTTGATAATGGTATGTTTTCAACTAGCTGGTCTTCTTCAGTTATTGTTCCTCTTCATAAGAAGGGGAAATTTGATGATCCTGACAACTATAGAGGCATCTCACTTATGAGTATTCTGGGCAAAATATTCACAACTTTATTAAATAATAGAATAACAAATTGGGCAAATATGCGGGACTTAATCCCAGAAACTCAGGCCGGTTTTCAAAAAAACTATTCTACTTCAGATCACATCTTTACATTAAATGCAATAATTCAAAAACGTCTTTCACGCCGAAAACACAAATTGTATGTAGCGTTCGTCGATTTTAAACAAGCTTTCGATTCTGTTGATCGTTCTAAATTATGGTATTGTCTGCTAAAGACCGGATTACGAGGGAAAATGTATTCTGTTTTAAGGTCTATGTATTCTAATATAAAATCATGTGTGCGATGTGGTGATGATTTTACAGATTATTTTGATTGTCCAGTCGGATTAAGACAAGGATGTATTTTAAGCCCAATGTTATTTTCATTTTTCATTAATGAATTGTATTACGATATTGCTAAAATGGAAAACATGGTATTCAGATGTTCCCAGATATGATTGAAATACTAATGTTACTTTTGCTGATGATGTCATTTTAGTTTCAGACACTATTGTAGGACTACAAAATCAATTTAATATCTTGGGACGTTACACAAAAGAATGGAAGTTATCGGTTAATTTACGACAAAACAAATATTGTCATTTTCAGAAGGGGTGGTTCGTTATCCGTAAAATGAAACGTGGGTACTAAATGGGATACACCTTAAGATTAATAGTCATTATAAATATCTTGGTCTTCTGTTTACCCATACAATGAACTTTTCTAAAAGCATAGAAGATTTAGTATCAAGAGCAAAGAAAGCCCTATTCAACGTTATGTCTGTTTCATATAAAATTGGAATTACCTCACCTAATATATTTTTAAAACTCTTTGATTCGCAGATACAACCAATAATGTTATATGGATCTGATATTTGGGGGTATCAAAGATACGATTGTTTAGAAAAACTTCACCTTTTAGCATGCAAAAGATATTTATCCGTTGCATTATCTACACCAAACTGTATGAAATACGGCGAATGTGGAAGACACCCAATATACTACTCAAAGTTTGATAAGGATCATATAGTTCTTACATTATAAAATCAATATATGAATTGATATGACACGCAAATTTCATCACAATGTTGGACTGACCCCTCTTGAGCCTCAAAACACAGGTTAGGTAGGGAAATGCATGCTGCAATGATCATGAGTAGCACGTGAAGCATGGTACCCACATTTTTCACATGTCTGAGTGCTTGTCGTTGATTTGAATTTGGGCATTGTCTTTACATCTGACATCGTTTAAGTCACTGTTACTCTATGAAAATGCCTCCACAACGTCAAAGACGTCGTTTGACTGTTGAAGAATTGGCCAGATGCATAGGAATGCTCGAAAATGGTGCAAGACAACGTCACGTTGCAGAGCTATTGGGTGTCAGTCAGGCGTTGTTTGCAGAGCTTGGAACCGGTATCAAGCTCATGGTTCAGCTTCTCATCGACATGGAGGCGGCAGAGAAAGGTCCACCACGCAGCAAGATGACCGTTTTCTCTTGATTGCAGCACAACGTCATCGGTTTGCAACGGCGACTGCGCTTAGAAATGATCTTCTGAATGCAACTGGAGTTAACATTTCCACGCAAACTGTGCGTAATCGTCTTCATGAAGCTGGTCTTCGTCCGGAGAGCCTGTATTCGCATCCCTCTTACTCAGCGACACAGACAAGATCGTTTGAATTGGGCCAGGGCTCATGTGAATTGGAGGGTTGTTGATTGGGCCCCTGTACTTTTCACAGACGAGTCGAGGTTTTGTGTTGACTTCACAGATCGTCGTGCACGAGTGTGGAGAAGGGCAGGAGAACGATATCAGGACGCTAATGTTGCTGAACACGACAGATATGGTGGTGGGTCGTTGATGATTTGGGGAGGAATCAGTCGAGCTGGACGAACTGATCTCCATGTCCTAAGGCGAGGCGCGATGACCGAGTGCGCTACAGGGATGAAGTCCTGGATGTGTGCGTGAGACCATATGCTGGTGCTGTTGGTCCTGACTTCATCCTCATGGCCGATAATGCACGTCCACATCGTGCTAGGGTGGTGGACGAGTACCTGGAACGTGAGACAATTGTTCGTATGGACTGGCCAGCTCGTTCTCCAGACCTCAACCCTATCGAGCATGTCTGGAATATGCTTCAGGTAGCGATTTCACGTCGTCCTGTACAACCAACCACCCTCCAGGAACTTGAAAATGTTCTGATCCAAGAATGGAACAATCTCTATCTTGCGTCCATTCAAAACCTCGTTGGAAGCATGAGACGACGTTGCCAAGCTGTCATTGGAGCTAACGGAGGCCATACCCGCTATTGACACTTGTTTGTGCAGTGTGAAATGGAATGTGCAGAGTTTAAACAATTTCGTGATCATGAAATTACCATGCTTTTTATGGTACTCTCCCTTTACCTTAGGAGTACGCGATGAAATGTCATGTTTGCCAAATTTTTCTGTCACAATTTCTTGAAGTAAACATTTCTGAACATCAATCACTCTGTGTTGGTTGTCATTCACCTTTGTTGAAAGTTTTACAAGTGCTGAAAAATATTATCCTTATCAAACTTTGAGTAGTATATATCAATTCTCAGATTAGATGCTTGAAATATTGGATAAAACTTATTGGTATGCATGAAAATAGAATTCCAAAGCTCGCTTATAATATGCTTTTACATTTAGACAATATCGGTAAAATTACATGGGCATCCCATGTAAGAAACATTTTGTTCTCTCATGGTTTTGGTTTTATTTGGATGAACCAAACTATTGGGAATGTCAGTCTCTTTTTATATAATTTTAAACACCAAGCCATTGATATGTTCTATCAGAATTGGCATTCTACCCTTCACGACAGCTCAAGGTATGACTGCTACAGGACATTTAAAAGTTTACTGCAGCCTGAAAAATATTTGTCTGTTTTATATTCTAAAGATTTAAGAAATATTTTTATCAAATTTAGACTTGGTTTGTTAGATTTAATGATAAATGAAGGCAGGAAAATGTCCATAGATAAGAACAGGAGACTTTGTCCGCTATGTAAATCCGCAGTTGAGAATGAAATCCACTTTATGCTAGTCTGTCCATCCTACTCCATTCTCAGAAGCAAATATATTCCACACCCGTTTTTGTCAAAATCTCCTGCTCTACCTTCTCATCCTTGATGTCTTCTCAAAATGATAATGTTATTCTTAATCTGTCATTATTTATCAAAGATAGTATAAGACTAAGAAATGTACTGTTAAACAGTTTAAAACGCAAGAACGAAATTTCACAATAGATTGTCATCTTGTTCTCTCCACTATTATATATGGTATTCTGTATATTATTTGCAAATGTATATTTGTATGTGGGCCGGAGGCCTGAAATACAATAAACTCTTTTGACTTGACTACCATCTATATTCCAGACACAAAAAGAAACCAAAGAAATCAAAGATAAAGTCAAGTGTGTAGAATAGTCTCCCAGCCGATGACATTAACAATATATTTCATTGCCATGGTTTTACTGAAAAAGAGAGTTTTTTCAGCACTATTTGAACCCGTCATTTCTACATTTCGGTATTTCAGCACATATTCATGTCTTCTTTGATTGGCATTCTAGAAGTTGAAGAGTTGGAGAATGAGGACAGTGTTTATGGATATACAATTTCTTTATTCTGTATATGCGACGTTTCGACATAGATCATAATGTCGTTGCCAAACAAGTGGTACATGAGAAGTAACTTTGGGTGATATATACATTATAAGTTGTTCACTGGTCACGAGGGGGGCATGGATTGATGTACCCTCGATGTTTGTTTATGTTCCCTGAGCTCGAAAGTCCAAACTAAATTGTCAGCTTCTTTTTAGCACTTGAAGAAAACGTTCATCGGGTTATTGTTTCGTGGAAATACTTTGACAGACTTTTGCAAAATTGCTTAAACTTTAGTAAATATTAGTGCGATGATTTGGTGTCAAATCTCCGGTATAATTTCACTGATATTTAGCTTTCAAAAGCCCGCACACACAGAGAAAACTCCCACTTCTTGTTATGTACAATGGAAATCTGGTCAACATACGAAATACACAAGTCCATTTAGAAAGTGGTCAAATGTAACATATGTTATATTTGGGATTACACTTTCTTTATAAAGTACAGATTCTAGTACTTGTGTTGGGTTGAGTCCCATCCGGGATTCGAACCCCCACCCTCAGAGTCAGGCACCTAATCGCCAGCACACAAAGTCAGACGCCTAGACCGCTCAGCCATAAGTGTAATCCCAAATATAACATATGGTCAGCATACGTATATCATTGAGGTATGACATAATTGTTTTCACGTCGTAATTAGCTTTTATCATAGAAAATTGCTTTGATTACATGATAAATTCTACGATCACATTGATCAATGGAAACATAAATATCACAAGTGAATATGGCATAGATGTTTTCAAACAAATGACAAAACGTAAAATATATAACTTGCTATAGGATATATGGTGTCCGTGTTACAGTGTGAGAATGCTGTGGTGATATGATATTTACAAATGTGCATGTTTTATTGATATATAATAATTGGATAAGCGTAGTCATTTCAGGTTTCTGAATGTATGCAAATGTTAGATGGTCGAAATCTATTTGCAATGTATTCATTATCATGCATGTATTCAATTGGCTGAATTGGTCACGTGTTATTCGGTTCATTTCCCAATGAATGTAACAAATGTAGCCACGCGGACGACGTTTACTGTTGATATCTTGACTTGTGAACTTTAATACCTTTCTGGTTGGTCGTTACACTTCGAGTGAAATTATCCCAGCACATGTACAGCCACTTCCGCTTAAGTCAAAGGGAGTTAATTTGTTTCTCTCTATTTTTGAATACCACTAAAATATTAGATGGAAAACTTACTGATGAGCACATAAAATCTGCCGAACACTCATAACTGCAGTTTACAATATAACGTTTACCATCAGGGAATCCCACTTTCCATGGGGGGAATGTGTTGTCTCTGTAAACGTATGATTGTGATATTCAGGAATAAAACCAGGAATGACACCACACACGGGCAGGGCGTTGTCGCACACTTTGGTTTTGTTGCTCGCTTGGAACATAAATTTAGAGGTTAATGTATGTACTCCTGATTGACAGAGTCCGACAACTGGAATTTTATCTCGTCTCCTAGTCGTGATTGACAGGCTGCCGAAACTTTGTTTTGATCTCCTTGTTATTGATTGGCTGCTGACTTTGTGGGTGTGTCAAGTTGAGTGCATAAATTTAACAATCACGTCATTCACTGCATGCCACATTAACAAACCCGTCATTCACTACATGCCACATTAACAATCCCGTCATTCACTGCATGCCACATTAACAATCCCGTCATTCACTACATGCCACATTAACAATCCCGTCATTGACTGCATGCCACATTAACAATCCCGTCATTCACTACATGCCACATTAACAATCCCGTCATTCACTGCATGCCACATTAACAATCCCGTCATTCACTGCATGCCACATTAACAATCCCGTCATTCACTGCATGCCACAACGTGTGTTCCTTCGCTTCGAATGTTTATCAATCTCAAGATTTGTCTGTTTTCATTTATGTAACTGTTCTGATTAAACTATTGTAGATACCATTCGTTTTCGCTTTCGAATTTTATTATAAGAATCGCCTGGTTATTTCAAACGCTTTAGCATCGGAAACATTACAAAGTTAAATAGTTTGAGCCGGTGGCGTAGATTGTGGTTAAGACGTTGGCTCGTTTTAACCAAGGAACCCGTGTTCGATTCCCCACATGTGTAAAATGTGCAATGTGAAGCCCATTTCTGGTGTCCCCCGCCGTGATATTGCTGGAATATTGCTAAAAGCGGTATATCACTAAACTCGGTACTACATACCTAAATAGTTTGCACCACTACGCCTAAGTGTTGTTTTTCTGGCCAAATTCAAGTCTTAAATTACTGCCATGGAGTCATGGTTTGGAATGCTGACATTATGTTCACAGTTATCTGACACTGTGCAGATCCGGGTTAGAATTCGTCTTCATTTACCCATGCTTGTGCTAAAATGCGACAATTGGGTTTCGGTGGTCAGGCTCCCTGACTTGGTTGAGACATGTCATCATATCCCAATAGTGAGGATCGATGCTCATGCTGTTGATCACTGGATTGTCTGGCCCAGACTCGATTATTTACAGACCACCACCATAAAGCTGGAATATTGCTGAGTGCGGCGTTAAACAACAGACGCACCGACCAACAAACCAAGTTATAGGAACATATTGGACAGATTCACAAACTCATTATCCACACTGCGGGAATAAAAGATACCTTCAGTGCTATTAAAACAAAACCTACAAAAACATGATTTATTTACAAGTACTTCAACAATACAATGATGATGAAATATAATACTGAGAGATGTGTGTGACGTCATTATGACGTAACATCATGCTATGACGTCACCCTTGATGAAAACAATGAATGTGGACAATGAAAATGACAAGAAAGGACCCGCCTCTCAAAACCTTGTATAACAAGACAAACATATAAATGGTTTACAGTTCTTGGTAAATGACATGGTTAAGGATCACGCCATGGGTATTAAATACGGAACTTTCGATTCATCACATTCGAATCAAAATATCAAACAATATTCAAAACTCTTCATGCATCATTTCTACAAATTACCCAAATGTTTCTTCAATTAAAATACGACTCATTTATCCAAAGCTATTTTGTTCTCATATAACTAAAAGCACTCTGATGAAGGACGGTGTCATTGTCGTCATCTCTTATTGTGAGATTAGCTCTCTTTGACACGAGCAGGTCGAAAACATCCTTCTTCCCATTTAAAGCTGCTGTCATCAGTGGTGTCAAACTCACTTCTCCTCAACAATTAATGTCAAATAGTGGAAGCAGATCTTCTACAATGCCACTATTTCCACCCTGACATGCCACATGATAGACATTTCTATCATAGTCATCTTTTAGTGAAGGATCAGCTCCCTTTGGCACGAGCAGGTCGACAACATCCTTCTTCCCATACCAAGCTGCTGCCATCAAAGGTGTCCAACCCATATATCCCCGACAATTAAAGTCAAACAGTGGAAGCAGATCTTCTACAATGCCACTATTTCCACCCTGACATGCCACATGAAGGACAGTGTCATTGATATCATCTTTTAGTGTGAGATTAGCTCCCTTTGACACGAGCAGGTCGAAAACATCCTTCTTCCCATTTAAAGCTGCTGCCATCAAAGGTGTCCAACCCATATATCCCCGACAATTAATGTCAAACAGTGGAAGCAAATCTTCTACAATGCCACTATTTCCACCCTGACATGCCAGATGAAGGAGATTTCTGTTATAGTCATCTTTTAGTGAAGGATCAGCTCCCTTTGGCACGAGCAGGTCGACAACATCCTTCTTCCCATACCAAGCTGCTGCCATCAAAGGTGTCCAACCCATATATCCCCGACAATTAATGTCAAACAGTGGAAGCAGATCTTCTACAATGCCACTATTTCCACCCTGACATGCCAGATGAAGGACATTTCTATTATCGTCATCTTTTAGTGAAGGATCAGCTCCCTTTGGCACGAGCAGGTCGACAACATCCTTCTTCCCACACAAAGCTGCTGTCATCAGTGGTGTCCAACCGACTTCCCCCCGACAATCAATGTCAAACAGTGGAAGCAGATCTTCTACAATGGGACTATTTCCACCCTGACATGCCACATGAAGGACGTTGTCATTGCTGTCATCTCTTAGTGTGAGATCAGCTCCCTTTGACACGAGCAGGTCGAAAACATCCTTCTTCTCATTTAAAGCTGCTGTCATCAGTGGTGTGAAACCCATATATCCCCGACAATTAATGTCAAACAGTGGAAGCAGATCTTCTACAATGCCACTATTTCCACCCTGACATGCCAGATGAAGGACATTTCTATTATCGTCATCTTTTAGTGAAGGATCAGCTCCCTTTGGCACGAGCAGGTCGAAAACATCCTTCTTCCCACACAAAGCTGCTGTCATCAGTGGTGTCATACCCACTTCTCCTCGACAATTTATGTCAAATAGTGGAAGCAGATCTTCTACAATGGCACTGTTTCCACCCTGACATGCCACATGAAGGACAGTGTCATTGATATCATCTTTTAGTGTGAGATTAGCTCCCTTTGACACGAGCAGGTCGAAAACATCCTTCTTCCCATTTAAAGCTGCTGCCATCAAAGGTGTCCAACCCATATATCCCCGATAATTAATGTCAAACAGTGGAAGCAAATCTTCTACAATGCCACTATTTCCACCCTGACATGCCAGATGAAGGAGATTTCTGTTATAGTCATCTTTTAGTGAAGGATCAGCTCCCTTTGGCACGAGCAGGTCGACAACATCCTTCTTCCCATACCAAGCTGCTGCCATCAAAGGTGTCCAACCCATATATCCCCGACAATTAATGTCAAATAGTGGAAGCAGATCTTCTACAATGGCACTGTTTCCACCCTGACATGCCACATGAAGGACAGTGTCATTGATATCATCTTTTAGTGTGAGATTAGCTCCCTTTGACACGAGCAGGTCGAAAACATCCTTCTTCCCATTTAAAGCTGCTGCCATCAAAGGTGTCCAACCCATATATCCCCGACAATTAATGTCAAACAGTGGAAGCAAATCTTCTACAATGCCACTATTTCCACCCTGACATGCCAGATGAAGGAGATTTCTGTTATAGTCATCTTTTAGTGAAGGATCAGCTCCCTTTGGCACGAGCAGGTCGACAACATCCTTCTTCCCATACCAAGCTGCTGCCATCAAAGGTGTCCAACCCATATATCCCCGACAATTAATGTCAAACAGTGGAAGCAGATCTTCTACAATGCCACTATTTCCACCCTGACATGCCAGATGAAGGACATTTCTATTATCGTCATCTTTTAGTGAAGGATCAGCTCCCTTTGGCACGAGCAGGTCGACAACATCCTTCTTCCCACACAAAGCTGCTGTCATCAGTGGTGTCCAACCGACTTCCCCCCGACAATCAATGTCAAACAGTGGAAGCAGATCTTCTACAATGGGACTATTTCCACCCTGACATGCCACATGAAGGACGTTGTCATTGCTGTCATCTCTTAGTGTGAGATCAGCTCCCTTTGACACGAGCAGGTCGAAAACATCCTTCTTCTCATTTAAAGCTGCTGTCATCAGTGGTGTGAAACCCATATATCCCCGACAATTAATGTCAAACAGTGGAAGCAGATCTTCTACAATGCCACTATTTCCACCCTGACATGCCAGATGAAGGACATTTCTATTATCGTCATCTTTTAGTGAAGGATCAGCTCCCTTTGGCACGAGCAGGTCGAAAACATCCTTCTTCCCACACAAAGCTGCTGTCATCAGTGGTGTCATACCCACTTCTCCTCGACAATTTATGTCAAATAGTGGAAGCAGATCTTCTACAATGCCACTATTTCCACCCTGACATGCCAGATGAAGGAGATTTCTGTTATAGTCATCTTTTAGTGAAGGATCAGCTCCCTTTGGCACGAGATGGTCGACAACATCCTCCTTCCCATACCAAGCTGCTGCCATCAAAGGTGTCCAACCCATATATCCCCGACAATTAAAGTCAAACAGTGGAAGCAGATCTTCTACAATGCCACTGTTTCCACCCTGACATGCCACATGAAGGACAGTGTCATTGATATCATCTTTTAGTGTGAGATTAGCTCCCTTTGACACGAGCAGGTCGAAAACATCTTTCTTCCCATTTAAAGCTGCTGCCATCAAAGTTGTCCAACCCATATATCCCCGACAATTAATGTCAAACAGTGGAAGCAAATCTTCTACAATGCCACTATTTCCACCCTGACATGCCAGATGAAGGAGATTTCTGTTATAGTCATCTTTTAGTGAAGGATCAGCTCCCTTTGGCACGAGCAGGTCGACAACATTCTTATTCCCATACCAAGCTGCTGCCATCAAAGGTGTGAAACCCATATATCCCCGACAATTAATGTCAAACAGTGGAAGCAGATCTTCTACAATGCCACTATTTCCACCTTGACATGCCACATGAAGGAGGGTGTTATTTTTGTCATCTCTTAGTTTGAGATCAGCTCCCTTTGACACGAGCAGGCCGAAAACATCCTTCTTCCCATGCAAAGCTGCTTCCGTCACTGGCGTTAGACCCACGTGTTCCAGACAATTAATGTGAAAGAACGGGAGTGTTTTGCCCATAGGATATCTTGCATTAATGTCAGTGACTGGAAGGAAGAATTGAAAAAGCCTTACATCCCCTTCCCTACAGCTGTAACACAAGGCTGAATAAGCTGCTCTCTGAAAGTCGAAGTCTCCAGTCAGAACTTTGATATTTAATCCTTTGGTAATAAATCCCAAAAATACTCTTCCAAGTAAACGGAACTCCTTCAACCTTGCAATTTGAAAGACATTTTCACCAACATCATTTTTGGATTCATAGATATCAGCTCCTGTGTTAAGTAAGATCAAAGCAACGTCTTTGTAATTATTATCTGTTGCAGTCACTAGAGCTTTGTTGAGCACACTTTGCTGAAGCAGTGACCTATATTTGGAAGATAACAACAATAACACTGCTTCGTTCTCACAGGAAGCACAGGCCTTGAAGGCTTCCTTGATCTCTTCGTCTGAAAAACGGTATCCAACATCAAGGATTTTCTCAACCAAGTACAGACTGTGTGCATGAACTGCCCAGTACAGTAAGTGTTTCTCTTCTTCCTTTGCATGCAACATGGCAAGCCTTTTTGTGTCCTTCGTATTCAGGAACCGCTTTAATGTATTTGATTTCTTCAGTTTGAGCATTTTGAACACTTTGTCCACTATTTGCTCTTTTCTCAAAATAGGGTGTGTAATAGACATACTGTAGTTGCCTTTGGCAACAGCATCAGCCAGTCTGGAGGCAATTGTGTCATAGTAAGCATCTGAGACGTAGATGATGTGGAGATGGTTATCTATTGCAGTGGACTGGACTGGCTGAGCTTGTACACGCTCATAAAGGAATCTGATACTGCAGTGGTTCAGAACGAAGGATGGATTCATTTTGAATAGGGCACAAGCACAGGCGTCATAGATGGTGGGATGTGAAAATCCAAGTATATCTCCATCAGTGAAAAATACACCCCTGTAACATCTGATGGCTTTGGCAACTGCAGTACGTGAGGTAACTGGCACCACGTTTTTTACGGCTTCTAAAAAATCATTTTCAGATTCCATTTCTACCCGGCTCAAGTTCAGATGATCTTCACACAACAACATCAGGATGAGCGCAGCGGATTGATCATTCCTACGTTCCATGATCATGTCAATTTCTCGCCGTAGATAAAATAGGGGTTCTTGAAAAAACTGTGCAGGTTCTTTTTGAAAGCTGAGAAATTCACAAAACAAGGTACATATTAGGGGGAAGCCAAACAAAGATTCTCTTGTGTCACAAAGCTCATCAATATCGAGGTTCATGTCCATGTTATGGTGTTTTAGTTGTTTCTGGAGTATTTTCTTTCTTTCCTGGGGGCTGTAATGACATGATTTCATTTTTGTCAAATCGAGAAGCGATGGACCTGTGAAAAAATAATATTCTTGGCCTTCCAACTTTGCGACTCCACATTCCAGGTTGTACGATTTAGTGGTGAAGATAACACGAATCACTGATTCAGCGCCTGGATGTGTTTTCAGTTCCTTGCTAGATTTGGCATCTTCTAAATATTGTTTGAGATTTTGTAGAATGGACCTAAGATGGGGAACGTCAGTTGATAGGCCGACTGTTCCAAATATATCATCCAGTATCAGACAAACTTTCTTTCCACGCAGGTCACAATTCTTCAGCTCGAATTTATCCACATCATCAACAAACACAAGTTCATACCCCTGGTTCCTGAGATCTGCTCCTATCATCAAGGCAATGGACGTTTTACCTTCACCAGAAGCACCACTTATTGTCACATGGTCATACTTCTCCAAGAGTTCCTTCACTCTTCTGTAGTTAGCAGTTTTCTCAAAGACATCTTTGACTCGCTTCAGATTTATTTGGAGCATATCTACAAGACAATAAAGGCATTAAATTCCCACACATCATCTTACAATTATATATCCTGCTTCATCTGCAGTATCGAATCTATCTCTTGTGGCCCCATTGCCACAAAAGATTTTTTCTGGCAAATCTTCTTTTGCCAAATGAATAAATCTGTTACATAATAACATCTGATGCATCTTCGGAGACGTCTACACCAAGACGATCCAGGGAATCTATCAATAATGTCTGTGTGCCATCTCGTAGCAACAGCCCACCTGCCAATTGATCCAGAAGCCATTTTAATTAAAAGATTTAAACTGACCTTTAACCAAGATGAGAGTTGCATAACCCAGTTATCCTACCACCACACTACAAACTAATTTACTATACAACACTGTTTTTCTGCATAAAACCTCCCTCGTTATCATCTGCCTATTATTTTTCTGTTTAGGTCAAGTCTTTTTCAATAAAACGCCATTATTACCTGATTTCATTATTCCATCATTCTGACCTCCAACAGATAAGCTGACTTCAGAAGAGTCCTGTACTATGATACCTTTAAAGTCAGACCCTGGAATGAGAGTAGAAACAGCAGGTGAGTCACAATGGAGCTTACCGCAGCTTTGTTGTTGCCTGATTGATTGTGTATGGTATTTGTAAGATAATTACATCATTTGGGAAGGAGACAACAATAAGTGGAACCAACGGTGCGTACACACTTTTACGTTTTGGACAATAAAATGTGTTTCAGAACATAATGCCATTGATACTGATTGTATTAAATGTGGTGAAATTGTGCTTGTGGTAAACATTCTACTTACCTGCAGTGATTCTAGTTGACACTGCTTGCCTTTCTCGTCTCTCAGAAACAGCCATGGAACCACTCCCCGCACTGGCCTGACGCTCGACCACTTCTGATGATGCTACCATGTCCATGGAGAATGTCCTATCACCTTGTCTTCCTTGGGGAACGACATTAACATCATTGTCATTACCAGGTTGTGCTACTTCTGATGATGCCAGGTTGTCCATTGTGAACGTTACATCACCTCCTGTCTCACGTTCCCTGGCAGGACGTTCAGATTCTGTCTCCCTCTGATTCCTCGACATGTCAGAAAATCAATGTCACAATATTTAGCCTAATCCTCAAGTGAAACTTAAATTGATAAACCAACTGATCGAGTTATAACTTCACTAGCATTAACATGTGTTTGTGATGGATGCCACCAGTTTGGTAAGACGCTAAATCATGACATGTTCTGGTATCTTATTTTTTTGTACGTCTACTGATTTTGATTAAAAGTGCAACCTTTCACAATATTTTGCTTTGCTTGCCAATGTAGAATTCAAATACTAAAGCGTCCCAAACCTAAAAATAGAAAAATGGCGTATCATTGCCATGCACCACGCCGAGATGTCAAGTGGGTCTATTGGATCAGTTTTGAACGTTAATCACACTGTAACCAGTAGCTCATTCGTAAATACAATATGACTTGACACGTGAAGAGTGTGTTGACACATAGAAAAAACATGGTTTACAAAGATGAATAATTTGTCATGTTCATATTTACAAATGATTGTGCTGGTTGAGGGCACTGGTTCCAGAAAAAGTGTTCCATTGCCAAACACACCACTTTGCCCTTACTTCACCTAGACGGGTGGTAGAATGGGCCCGGTTCTATAAATCGGGCGGTGATGCCATGCCCTGTGCATTCGATTTCACATTGCACAAACGTGTTTTCTGTAACTGATCCTGATTTGGGTATTGGTAAAATAATTTCACAGAATTTATAATGACTTAAAATTACAACAAATGTTCATTTGGCCTAAAGGCGTATGCCCAGAAGGAAGTTGTTCATGGGCCAATCCTGTGGAATAATTAAATTTCTAGTTTTCTGCTGGAGTATATCATCCGAGCATCCTTGGTGCTGCATGTCGGATATCCACTTGTTTATAGCATTGTCTTCATAATACTCCGTAATGGGTGGTGAGCTCGGATGATGAAACACTAACTATGGATTACAACCCCTCCCCTAAAACGAAACAATCGTCAATTGGACAATGATAGTGAACGACCTTCCAACTCAACTGAATATTGGCCACGATTTGTTGTCTTGTCACCTATAAAGCTAAACCCGTTTGCAGTACCAAAAGACGTACATGATTTTGCAGGTGAGGTCCGAAATATCAAATGATTGCGTACAGGTTCTCTGCTCATAGAATGTACCTGGAAACAGAAATCGACAAATTTGATGTCAGCTGTTTGTTGGAACACCGATATCGGTTTCTCTACATAAAACTTGACCAGGATCATCTGGTTACTGTTCATGTGTGAACTAGACATCGTCTCAGAAATCAAAGTACAAGGAATGAATTTTGTAAACTGATTCACTACCCGACAAAACTCTGAAACTAAACAAACAAACACCTACCTATTCCTGAAACAGCTCCAAAATAAGTTAAAGCAGGATATGAGGTGTTTTAAATGCCAAATTTTCGACCATGACCACGTACGAATTGTAATATCTTGGATTCTTTTCATATTTGGTACCTAGGTTTATTACAGTATAAGAAAGATCCAAGTCAGGTTTTGTAACCTTGCCCTTCATTTCAAGGTCACAAGGGGACTTTAACGTTTTACCTGCATGTTGAGCTATCTCAAGAACCGTTCACTGGATTTTCTTCATATTCAATACAAAGCTTTATCTAGGGAAGGCACATGGCCCAGTCGATGTTGGTGACCTTCACATAATTTTCAAGGTCATGGCGACACTTTGAAGATTTCAGCATGTTAACCTGAATTGTCAGCAAGATATTTCAATAATGGTTCACTGGATTGTCTTCAAAGACTTTCAAGACTTCCCTTAAATGTTTATCAAAAAGCAATTCCTTTAGTACTATTTTTACATATTTCATACACTATGACATTTATGTCAAGGTCAAAGTCAGTCTTGAAAATATGTGTGTGTTTGAACACCTAAAGAGCAAGAAAGCTTGACTGGTCATGCTTTTGTTGACATTTAACTTAAACTTTCAGTACTTAATAAGTTTGATTTGATAATTTGCGGCAGGGGATTATGTCACCTTAGTGAGAATGCTTGTTCTGATTTGGAGAAGGCGTGTAATATTCCGATAGGTTGGGCTCACGTCCGAGGGGTTTCAATTGTTCTCCCGTGACGAGATAATACTCGTGCATGGCCTCGTTTACGTCCTGAAACGTTCGTACGACGTGACCTCATTGCAGTTGACCGTGACTAAAATCCATTCTTTGCATTCGTTTTTTCGCGTAGTAGGCTTGCGCAGCTTGTAATTTATCCACTACTAAATTGTGACGTTTCCGTTCTGTGGATGTTTGTAAATACGAAAAAAGGTAATTGCTACCCGAAAAGGTGATGGCGTTGACTAAAACCCCACCGACCATTAAGGCAATCGCGGCCATTTTTTATTTTTGATAATGTCTCTTAACTTTAATATGTTTTCCGGAATGATGCCTTGCTTGATGAGCATATTTTTGGTGGCCATCGCTAGCCCCAAATCCAGGATACCCACGCCTTACATATTGCAATCGAGTTTGGGAGTGGCTTCTTTGGTGATCATTTTGCTCAACTGCGTGTAGCCTATCGCTCCAGCGAGTGACCACGGTGGAGTGATACGCGTCGTTGACGAACGTTTTTCCGTCGGTGGGAGTAGACATCCTTATTACATAATGTGTGGATTTACCACCACCGTCGTTTGGCTTCATCGTTTTTAACCATGCAGCTGTGGTGATACCCATGAAAGTGGCTGCCACGGCGTTTGGAATCCACGGTTGGTTATTCATCGGTTTATTATGATGCCCTTCTAACCCACCATTTTTACCGGTGGATACTTTTTGGATTTGTTTTGTTTTGTATTTTCGTGACAGTATCAATCAGTATTTTGGGGGTCGTCTCCTCGCCTCCACTGCAGGTGGTGGTGGTGGTGGTGGTGGTGGGGTCGTTTCGAGGTTCACCTCTGTCATCTTGTATATCCATGGGAAGGAAATACAAAGCTATGCCGGTGTAGAGTTATCTCTTGGCTGACCCTATGGTTTTCATAATTTCGGCGCCGAGTCTGGTTTAGTATTTCGCGTACAGTTTGTCGATTTTTCCATCCGTCAATTTTCTAATTTTATCGGTGGCAATATTTTTGCCCAATTAATGTTAACCCTTACCACTGACGACGAGGGATGCGCGACATTATGGCTTATTCACACTCGTGTTGAAGGGAGGTGTACCTCTTCTGTCAGTACTAATTTTATCTTCTTCGGAAAAACATTTGTTCGAAAAGGTCATCGCACTCCATCTTGTACAATTGTACATCAATCGATTTTTAAATCTAATACAACAAAATCCGGCATAACCCAAACAGGAAGATAGGAATGTCAGGTTAAAAAGAATGAGAATTTCAACTGGGACTGCCTCCTGGGCAATACTGACAGTCTTCAGACTTCCGGTTCAGTCCCAGTGGCTACCTTTACTTATACTGTTTCTTTGAACACCAACTGGAGCGTCCAGTACAGTGTTTTTTGTGATAGAATTACTAAGGAAGTAAATGTTAGTTACTGTGAAATATTGACGTCCTGATTTGGAGCTGATGGAATGCTGCTGTGATGTTTGTGTCGTAATCGTGACCTAATTATTGATTTTACATAACAATAATGTGAAGCAAAACTGTTTCCCATTCAATCATCTACAGTTTGATATTTTGAACTGAACATTTTTCTGAACCCTATGAAAATGCGTTTTAACAAAATTGACCAACTTCCAAGGGCGATAACTCCAAAATTAATCAAGAAATCGACACATGCCTTGAGCAATATACGTAGTCCGGAGGGTGGGCTTTACAAAGACGTATCAAACACAATGGTACTAAATGCTATTTAGGAGAAGATACAGATTTTGTACCGTTATACACAGGCACCATCAAAACGTGCGAAAATGTGAAGGAATCGTATTGTTTTTTCGGGTTGTTGTTGTTGACGGTGGGTTGTTTTCTTCCGTTGGCATGGAGGAGGTTGTTGAGGCTGGATGACGCTGAGAAGGTTGTGTCTATGCCTGCCTGTTGTTTCAGGAGTCGGCTGATTTGGTGTGATGGTTTACCAATGTAGGGAATGGATATCTTGATGGGGGCTGATTCTGGTTTAGATCTTTTGGCAGGAGGTGAAAGCATTGCTTCGGTGGTTCTGTTGACTATTTCAGGTGGGTAGTGGTTGCGTTCTACAAAGACTTTCCTCAGGTGTTCAATTTCTTCCTGTAGGTTTGTTGAGCAGATGTTTTTGGCTCTTCTGGTCAATGTAGAGATGACGCCGGTCTTGACTTTAGGGGGGTGGTTGGAGTTGTAGTGGATGTATTGATCCGTATGAGTAGGTTTTCTGTACACGAAGGTCTGGAGTTGGTTGCAGGAGGTGCGGGACACAAGGACATCAAGGAAAGGTAGTTGGTTGTTCTGCTCTGTTTCGATGGTGAATTTGATGCGGGGATGTTGGCTGTTGAGATGGGCGAGGAGCTGCTTTGGATCTTGCTGAGGTTGGAGGATGACGAAGGTGTCATCCACTTTGCGGTACCAGCAGGACGGTTTGAAGGGTACAGTTTCTAGATATCCATTCCCTACATTGGTAAACCATCACACCAAATCAGCCGACTCCTGAAACAACAGGCAGGCATAGACACAACCTTCTCAGCGTCCTCCAGCCTCAACAACCCCCTCCATGCCAACGGAAGAAAACAACCCACCGTCAACAACAACAACAACCCGAAATGTGTTATTTACAAAATAAACTGTGATTGTGGACAATGCTACATAGGTGAAACATCCCGACCCATCAACACCCGAGTCAAAGTACATCGCACCTCTGTTGCTAATTCCGACACCAAGTCAGCTATCTCTGACCACATCAAAGCTAACCCCAATCATCAAATAGAGTGGTCCGACATCACCATTCTCGCCAACAACCAAACGGACTTCACTAAACGCAAGCTCACAGAAGCCATTCACATCAAACGCCACAGGCCCACCATCAACCGTGACCAAGGATACTTCATTCCATCAGCTTATGATCCACTCCTCCACCAAGCCCAATCTATTGTATAAACATCGCATCTATTGTATAAACATCTCGTTGTAACTACATCTCTGGCTTCCATTCACTATCCTTTGTGTACTCACTGGCTTCTTCAGCTTACTGCTTAGCCAATCATGGCAATTATGTTGTTTCCTTTGTCTATTATGTTGTTTCATTGTTATATACAGTATATATATATGCAGCTCCTACACTTCATGTATCACTCTTGCTTGACAACGGTACAAGAATCTGTATCGAAACGTCGCACTCACGAAATAAAGAAGTTGTTATCCATAAAACTTGTTCTATATTATCGTATTGTTTGTGTTTGTGTCGTAATTATTCATTTTTGCATAACCATAATGTGAAGCAAATATGTTTCCCATTTTATTATCTACAGTTTCGTTCCTTGAAAAAGGAAATCCATTGTTTTCCGCAGAGCTGTGACATTTATAAACCCCATGAAAATGTGTTTTGGCCAAATGGACCAACTTCGAACTCTGCAACTATTCATTATATTGACATGCCTTGATCAATTTAGGTAGCCCGGTGTGTAGGCTTTACAACGATATATCAAACACAATTGTACTATTTGCCTTTCAGGAGGAGAATATTTTTAAACACAGGCACACGTTTGTCTGGATGTATCGCCGTCTGTGGTGGTGTAATATGTCCGTATCAGATAAACGTGAGCATTCTTGCGACACTGTGAAGATCAAGGCTGGATCACCTACATGGATATTATGTGAAATCTACTCCTGTTGACCCACAAATGGCCATTGCTGAAACAGGAGGCAGAAATCTACACTCTGCAGACATGGGGTAATTGTAATGTGTAATTAAATGTAATTAATTGCAAAAATCTATGTAATTGCATGTAATATGTAATTGAATGTTCAAAATGTAATTTGTAATTGTAATTTGATTAATTAGTATCTCAATGTAATTGATTTTTTCAATTACATCAAATTACATCTCATTGTTTATATTTTGGTGGTCATCAGGCAACCCATGCAATTATACTGCACAATAAGGAGGACAAAGTAGAGTTTTTTCAGTTTGATGTTTGTTGTCAGTATATACTCTAGTAGGTGTTAAGTTTTGAAAGAGATTCGAATGTCTAAGCCTTCGAAGTTTTACAAGACATTATCTTCACTGCATTTTGTATACCCAGGTATGAAAATTTGTTATTTTGAGCTGTTTACTGCACCCATTGTCACACAAATGACCTTGTTATATTCCAAGCTTTGATTACAGGCATTTGCTACACTTATTCTATTAGTTTAACATCAGTATAGTTTCACTGAATAGTAATGCTGGTGGTATGTCACAGAGTTGTGTTTTCCCTTTAAACAGTTTACCATGTCAAGTAAACAGAGTGTAGTTAGGGAGGTTTTTGAATTTCTTGTTGATGGCATCTCTTCTAAGACTTTTAAGGCCAAGTGCAAGCCATGTGGGTCTTTCATATCTGGATCCCTTAAAGCTACTTCCAACTTCCTGTAACTATCACCATCTGGATCCCTTAAAGCTACTTCCATCATCCTGTAATTATCACCATCTGCACATATGTGAAGCAAAGGAAATCAGTAATGCATGAATTGAGTTGAGTTGGGCTTTATGTCACATGGGCATTATTCCAACCATAGAGTGACGAGAACAAGTCTGCATTAATAAACATTGTAAGTACAGGGTAACAATGAGGTTTTTTTCAAAAACATATATTCAGAAACATCCCCATCTGTTTTCAGCAGATAATCATGAGTAAATCGACTGTGGCCAATACGACATCGTCGTAAAATTACCTCATCACGTCTTGACTCACAACCCAAGTTGGTATAACCAATTGTTGGCTTCAATTCATACAGTTTATTTCTTCCTACTTGGGTGTCCCACGATTTGTGCATTAGGTCCCGAGTATAGCTTTTGATAGTGGGTTTGAAATCACTGTACGGGATCAGCAGTGGAGATATAGGGTTTGTCAAGAGCTACTTTTGTTGAAGCATCGGCTTTTGTGTTACCAGCTATGCCGACGTGACCCGGCAACCGGCAGAGGACGATGTCACATTGGCCAGTAGAGAGGTCGTTGTAAAGTTCCAAAATGTCCAGAACGAATAGGTGACTTGAAGTAACATTTTGAAGTGCTTGAAGGCAAGGTGGTGAATCTGTGAAAACGATGAAGTTTCTGGAATGATTCTGCTGTTTAATATAGGTCAAAGATGAAAGGATAGCTTTGGTCTCAACAGTGAAAATGGAACTGTTGTCGGGAATCCTAGAGGAGGCCGTCTTAAATCCAATGACTGTAGCACTGGCAACTTGGCCCTCATCCTTGGATCCGTCTCTGAAAATGGATCTATGAGTGTCATACTTGGGCCGCAACTGGTTGTATTCCTGCTTGAAGACCAAAGGATTCCTTTCGGACTTTTTGTGTATATTGAGGGTAAGATCGATCTGCCAGGGTGGTGAAGACAGGGGTCGGTAAGGCGCTAAGATATTGAGATCAATTCTAGCTGCAGATATGCGTGGTTGAATTCTGATTCCAAGTGGTGGAACCAGGCTTGGCAGTTTTGGAAACAAGTTTTCATAGAGAGGGTTGAAAAAACAATTGTATGCTTGATTGGACTGATTTGAACGTAATTTAGTGATATATTGCAGTGAAAGTTTAATGCGGCGTTGTTCCTGGGAAGGTTCGTTAGCCTCTGCATATAGACTGTCTTCCGGAGAGGACCTAAAAGCTCCCAGGCAGAGCCTCAGGCCTTGGTGGTGGATAGAATCTAATTTTTCTAAATTGCTTTTGCAGGCTCCACCATAACCAATGGAAGCGTAGTCTAGTAACGCATGACTGAACGTAGGTTAGTTTATGATGGAATGGGGGATTAGCTGTACTATTAGTCAAGTTCCTATCAAAATGGGGCGGTGGGGTAGCCTAGTGGCTAAAGCGTTGGCTCGTCATGCCGAAGACCCGGGTTCGAATCCCCACATGGGTACAATGTGTGAAACCCATTTCTGGTGTCCCCCGCCGTGATGTTGCTGGAATATTGCTAAAAGCAGCGTAAAACCAAATTCAGTCAGTCAGTCCTATCAAAATGGCGTCTTTGTTTATTTCTCACTGGATATGATACTTAAATCTATCCTTAGCGAACTTGCCAAGAAATACCTGGTTATACCTGCGTCGTCAACCCCAGTTGAGACGCTATTCAGTGTTGCGGGGGAGACATTCATGCCTGAGAGATGCAAGCTGAACAGCACAACCTTTGAGACAAATGGACAATGGACATATCCTGAAGAAAATCTGTGTCAAAGGTTGTGCTGTTCAACCTGCTACTTGATTGTGAACAAAGGTGTGAAAGTTAGTAGGACTTCCGACTAATAACAATGGACACAAGAAAAATACACAGAATGAAACCTGTTTTAAGTTTATATATTGAACAATCCTAATTTTGCATTTCACTTTTTGATGACAAAAGTGTGAATTGGATTTAGTGGCCACTGTTTATCAACACCTATATCTTGTTTATTAATGAAATACAGAAATATGTCTGTTTAGTTTTTCTTGTGTTGTTTTTTAACAAAGTAATTTGTAATGTAATTAATTACATTGGTAATATAATTGCAATTTAATTATTTACATTTTAATTTAAGGTGTAATTGAGGAAATCCAAAGTAATTGTAATTTAATTAATTACATTTCAAAGTAACTGACAGCCTGATTAGATCATGATTTCAGTGTTTAATGGCCTACAACCTAGGCGGTGTACGGACAATTCCCTATAAGGACACTCCCCACTAAAGTAATGCCAGAAATGCTTGGAAACTGCTTTTTGGCAATTATTTGATAATGGTTGATATTTCAGATTCAAAACTCATCTATACTAATTCATACCACCTCGACCTAATATGGCATATGAGTAATCACGATGTACCATTCCCTAATCATAATGATTACTCGTAAAATATCGAAAATCCATGGTAGAAACACTTCTAAGAAACAAACTATACTCTGACCCACCTGACAGGCAGACGGGGTGACATCAAACATTTCTAAAAGTACTTCAATACATGAATCAGGCAAATGATCTAGGAGCTGATAGTGAATATTATCAGTCCCTGTTGCTGTATCATGAGCCTGCCCAAGGGCAGTTTGTAGGTCATGTCGTGAAAATACTTCGTTGTAATCTTCACCTTTTTCAGAGCTGAAATTAATGTTTTTCTTTCCCTCAAGCTTCTTATATTTCTGAAATTCGGGAAGATAGTTGGATGAAGACGAGTGTTTAGCTAATGTTTCACCAAGTTTGTTGGCAATATCTGAAGCATCTTCCAGAAAGTGATCTGCTTCCTTAAGGTGTTTAACGCTCGTCTTTGAACCTTTGCCCTTGATCCTTTGGACCATGCTACGCAGTGTTCTATAAATAAATATTTCAAAACTGTGACTAATCTATTTCAACTTTAATTCTGTTTTGTTTTGTACATTTGTATACAGATAGTACTCTATTCATTGACTATAACGAAAAACTATTATTGGTCAGTTCGTCGAAAGCACGACCGCTAATGTCCGAAGTTCTATCAAATATGTTGAAAACTGCTATCGGAGAAACCGCGTGCAGGTTCAGCTCCACGTGTTTCACGCAATCAAATCTTCCGAGAAGTACATTGCGTTTGTGCGAATGTTCGTTTGTTTGAAAACATAAACGCACGCGAATATTCTATGCTTACAAACGCAGTTCTCCACAACAGACCATATTAATCACCTTTGATATAGGTTTGCGGGAATGAATCTTGGAGACGTAGGTTCTCCATGATTGACGTTTATTTTGTTTGAAGGTACGGCGAGCCTTAGCTCTGGTTACCTTAACATTATTCAAATTATGTACAGTTGGATGCTTGCGAAAATACTTTCCGCTCTTTTCCTATTTTTTTCTAGCCTGTTTGCAATTTGTAGATGACTTAGGAAAGGAATCGGTAGCTATAGCATTCAGTTCATCTGAAAACAAATGAATGGGGTCAGCAATATTCAGGAATTTTTCAATTTCACAGTACATAATGAAGCGAATTGATAGCTGTTAAATAGTTGTACCGGATCCCGTTGACCTTTCGGTACTCGATCCGAATTTTTTGAATAGTTGACTGACTTGCTGGCATTTACTATTACAGGTGAAAGTGTAGTTGCCAGGCTGGACCGGATTTTGATGAAGCAGCGTGGTCACCAGAACAATTAACACATTTAGGGCTGTTTGGGCAGTCTAAAGTGTCATGCACAGGTTCTCCACAACGGTGACATTTCTTGCTGTTGGGACATGGTTGGGCACCATGACCAAACCTTAAGTGATAAGAGTAACAACATTCTGCCTGCTTGTAAAACGCTTTACAAACATTAACACCCTGGTCGTTCAGTTCCGAAGCTATCTCATCTTCAGACATGTCTGCAAGACAATTCCCTCGAACTGTTGAGAGTTTTGTGTGGAGACACAATAACTGGTACAGTACCGAGATCTTTAGCAGCCAGCAGTGTAGCTGATTGAAATGCTTACATTCTAGTAAGATACAACCAGATCGCGTCTTTTTCATTGACACAACATCGCCAGCGGTACCATAAATCTCTTTTGATAGAGCAAACGGTTTCAGTTTCAGTGGACCATAATCCGAAGTTAAAATCACCAAAAATCGAGACCAATCGTCAGATTTGTTTTTGGAGACGGTGCCATCACCAGAACATGTACTATCCTCTAAAGTACGTTTGAGTTGTTTTAGAGGTATCATGGTAAGTAAATAAAGGTTCATCATCCCAGCTCCCCACCCACCACGGAGTATCATTAAGACAATGCCATATGCCAGTGGGTTTCCAACTAGCAGCACCAAGGATACTGTGATGATATAATCCAGCAGAAGTATCAATTCAAGATCAATAGATCCACCAGATTGACCAATGAGCCATCGCCTTCTGGGCGATCTATGTAGAATCACCAAACAAACTGAAATCAAGTTGCTTGGAACTATTTTTTTTCTCACTCGGCTTGTGTGCTTTCCATACTCATAGGTTGAAATAGTTCACTCTTTCTGTTGATCTTGTTGCCTTTGTTGTTGAGAAGTTCTAGCTTCTTTTGTTTGATTGCTTGTGCTTGTGTTTGATTGCTTTAAAATGTTCCATTTTATTTCATAGTTGACATTGTTACTTTTGAGTTGCCAGATATATTTGGATAATTCGGTTTCTATTTTGTAGCATTCATTTCTGAACGATTTAGTGTGGTTGTTGTATCTCAGTTTGAAAGACCCACTTGCTAGCACTATGTATGACGCTGTGTCCGCTTTAGTTGTTACAGTAGCTTTGCAGATGACGTCATCAATCAGGCATTTACAGTTCAGCGGGCAGTTTGCTTTTTTGCCAAATTGCAGTTCTTCTTGCTTGGCGTTTGACTTGCTGTTTTCAGTACTGTTTTGTTATGCGCCTTGACTGTCTGTTGAATGTTTTTCATGCATCTGTAGCTTACTTTAACCGTTGATCTGTTGAAGATCTTGTGAAATTTGCTTTCGCGGGAGAAGTATTTGTTTACCAGTTGTAGGAAATGTTTGCCAACATTTATTCTGACATTTTTACTGAATAGCAGGTTGTACCATGTGATTTTTCTTGGTCGCCTTTTCGTTGTTTTCCCACCTGCAGGTTTTGGTATGAATTGCTTGTCTGGAATGTAATTAGATGTTACGAAGGCATGTTCGTAATATGGTACTGCATTTTCAAATATTTCCTGGTTTGATGACAATGTGGATATTCTTTTCATGATTGCCTTTGGTATATTTATGATGGTGTTAGGTGGATTGTTTGAGTGAGAGTTGATGTAGACTGTCTCGTCATTTGGTTTCCTGTATGTTTGTGCGTTCCTGTTTTGAGCTCAAGGGTAACATCTAAGAAGTTGACAGTTTTCAGGTTGGTTTCGATTGTGATTTTTGGCCACAATCCTGGAAGAGTTTGATAAGCATTTACCTAAGTCTGTCGGCCTTGCTTCCACTGTAGCTACCGTCCATCATCTCTTTATAACCCTTCGCTTTGGAACGAGGAAATTTGTATATATATATATAGCATTTGTATATAAATAGCATTCTTGCACACCTGTGGGTGAGAAACCCATGTGAGAAAACAAATGTGTGAGATCGATTTCCTAATCCCGTGATTGGCTACTCCGTGGTGATGACCTAGGGTCATGTTATGGCGGACTACTTTCCTGATTAACATTCATTGATAAGTTACTCGTTCTTCAATCGAACAGAAACCTGTTACCCATGCCCCCCAAAACCTTTACACCTGCTATTTTTGCGATTGCAACATAACCAGGTACAATATTATGAATGAAACACACACACAATGAAACACATATAGAATAAATATAACACGAATCTAGTTATTTTCTAATTCCTTTTGATTCTAGTCATGAATTCGAAATGGCTTGAACAATTATGTCAAAATGGCGGTTAGAGATAAAGCCCGGGATTCCCTTCGAATATTTAAAATGTACATTGGTACTTTTATTGGATTGATACGAGAAGTGTCATATGTATCGTCTTGAAAAAAATATGTGACACGACAACGTCAATGCATGTCCATTGGGAGATCGATTTGCCTCAATTTTTCTTTGATGAAGATGACATTTTTCACTGATAAACATGATGATTCTTTCGATTAAGATCCACTTCCCGCTCCGAGCTACTATGTGATTCCAATGTTATCAAATTCACTCAGGACAATCAAAACAAAAACACACTCGTTGAAACAATGTACAGCGTGGAACGACACACGTCCTTTCTATTCAATCGGAAATGTACAGGAACGGTTAATCTAGAATCTACACATAAGCCATTGCCTTTAAGAGATTCTCCGACGCATAATAATGTAAAGTTCATGTCTTGACAACATACGGGATATAATCAACTCACATTTCATACTGACAACTCCGTAAATGCCGTAACTTTCCAAGTGGCAGTTTTGGCTCGGGAAAACGAAAAGGCTGCACTCCGGCGAAGAAGAGTAGTCCCCCATTGATAGTGAACGTAACCTCAGCAATGTCACATTCGAGCACACGGGGTGCACCTAATTACACACACTCAATAGTTTTGACTCCGGTAGATGGGATAACATTGAACTTAAACTGGTACGCAAGTACAGATCCCAATGTGCAGAGATATCCAAAACAATCTTCCGATAACGACAACCACCAAACAACAACGATGACGTCACACGCTCAAATATTTTATGCTTGCAAGAATTAAAATCATCTGCATTTACATGGTAACATCATCGTTTTAGAGTGTTTAATAGACTGTGACCTTATCTAGTTGCATTATCACTATTGCCTTGATGACGCGAAGATGTGGCAGAAACGTTTTGGTGGAGGGTCACATTAGGGATGAGTAGTGATTAGGAAGCCAAGTGACGTCACTCATTCACAAACGTTGTGTTGTGTATTATTGCGCAGCTACGATGAGAAAATATGACATTTGAATCTATTCGACCAAGCGATGCGATTTTATAATGTGTAAGAAACATTACTGTACTCGTGTCTTTCAGACACCATTTATCTCCATAAATACGCTCGCTAAATACGTGTTGAAACAACTCGTTGGAAGATAAATGGTATCTGACACACACCCGTTTAGTAATCTCTATTTATACCATATTTCTAGCCCCTCAGAAACACCCTCTCACCAAAGTACATCTACGATCCTCACCCTACGACTCCTTCTACCTTACATATGCGCTTAAACACACACCTTAAACACACACCAACAGTTTTGTTCTTTCACAAAATATAAGGAAAATCTTACAATCTTGTGCAACGACGAAGATGTAACATTTTACTTATGGTAGTGACTAAAGATTTACAAAGCTTATTATTTTGCATGCGATGAATTATTTTACCAGTGGTGCTAAGTAAAGGAAAGACACTGCCCTAATCTGTAGCTTGCTTCCAAGGCCTTGAACGGATATCATTATATAGACTGCATTATCCAAGAAAATGAATTTCGTTTTCTACAACATTTACATCTAACATTTT